GGGGAAAATCCGAAGATCATCACTGTTTAACATGTCAGGTGTTGAGGTTTTTACAAAATTAGTAGGAAACCACAAAATCTTACATGATTTCACATGATAAATTCTACTAAAGGAACTTTTCAAGCAACACAATCAAGTAGTTGACAAAGATTATTGCCAAGTATTCCTGCAAATCAGATCCAACATTATGTTCATTAAATTTAAAGACCTGGGGTCCATTTCATGAAGCAGGTTTAGTGAAAACTCTGTTTCAGTCACCGTAGTAACATTCTCCCCAGAGCTAACCTGGTCTGTAGTAGGTTTTCATCAGTAAACTCAGAGTTTCTTCTGATTCCACTCTTCTTAGAGCCTATCATGCTGTTTTATTTCCTGATTTAGTCAGATTTTGTCATAGTGTTCTGCATAAAAACAAACATTGCATGTCCGTTTGATGAGGATCTTATTAAAGAATGATTAGCACCTTTTCACAGAGAATGTGACAGAATAGGAGATTTATGTATCTTTGGTTTGTTTAATATGAGTGACATGTGGATAATTTTTATTTATTAATTTTTACCGTACATGAAGAACTAATGAAATAATTTTCAGATTACATATAAATAGATTAGTTAATTTTGCGGAGGAAAAGGAATTACTTTAGGGTAAGGATTAGGATTCAATCGATGATAATAACCTAATCAGCCTATTGGCACAATCTGCTGGCATTCTATGGGACTGATAACCACTAATAATGACCATTTATTGGTATGATAACATCCAAAGTGGCTGCAAAAAGTCACTTAGTATTTACTGGGGAAAAGAAGACCGAATCAACATATGGAGGAACCAATGAGATGATCCATAGGTTCTATATATTAGAACAACGTTTTTAGACTTAATTTTTACCTGCTACCAGAAGATTTCACCTAAATAGATGCATTAATTCACTACCATTCGAGAAATAATCCCTATTATCGCTGTAACAACAGGCTAGGGCAGCCATCTTGCTATGTATTAGTTTTACTGAATATGTATTCCTGTAACCTAAAATAATTTTTTTTTGTCTAAATTACCATTTAAAAACAAAATTTCAATCTCCACATTTAGAATAAACATTCTGGATGTCTAGAAATTTATTTCAGAGCTCCATATTACTTTTATACAAGTCATTTGTATTATTTTGTCTATCAAGAAATGTATTTCAGACATCATAAATACATATACCGTCAAGCTGATAAATCAAAACAGGCAACTTTAAATGTGTAAACATTTCTAGGTATATAAAACTTAATTCCTGCTAGTATAGTTTTCTTTTTTAATTCCTAAAATTAATTTTCTTCCAGAAAAATGCAATTTAGAAAATATATTATTACAGTAAGGTTTAGGAGTGTGATTTTTATCAGGAAGAATCTTATCTTATTGATCTTCAAATGGAACAACAGAGAGGAGAGTGGTTTCAATAATTGTAAAAACGGCCTGCCATAATCCACTTCATATAAGCCGACGCATAAACTAGAGCAACAATCTTCTCATTCGCTGCCTTCTTCTCCATTGTAGCTGTGGCGCTGTTTCTCTCTCTTTTAAACAT